GAGGGAGAAGCAGACTCCCCGCCGAGCAGGGAGCCCGATGCAGGACTCGATCCAGGGACTCCAGGATCATGACCTGAGCCGAAGGCAGTCGCTTAACCAACTGAGCCACCCAGGCGCCCACTAAGTTCTTTTTACTACTCTGGTAGGATCTTAAAATCCCAGGTTAGCCACCTGAAAGTCAGGATCCATGGTTGGCATCAGCATCCTCCATCCACATCCTCTGTCCATGCTCTCTGAGATTTAGTCTGGCCCATAAGAGAAGCGCTGAGCACTTGGGTGCTTGTAGGTGGTCCTTGTCAACACAGTTTGCTTCCTCTGGGAGAAATGTGAGCCCTGGCCCCCTGTATTGCCTCCTTCTCCCCAGCTTGCTGACTCTGAGACCACCCGTGGGGCCTGCACCACATCTCTCTGTCATGGCGCCCAGTTTGTCCAGGTTCCCATCCCAGCCTCTGCCTGGCTGCACTCCAGAGATCCCCAGGTCTTGCTTCGGAGGCCACAGGACCAGACAGACCAGCCCTGGCCTGATCAAACTTCTTGGCCAATTCACCTTCCTCCGATTTCCATATTCAACAGCAGCTGTTGGGTCACCCAGCTGCTTCGAGGTTGGTCCCAGGGAGGCGGAAAAGGAAGACTTCATTGGTTTTCATTCACACTTGTTACTGCTTCAAAATCAGAACATGGCAAATATATATTTATGTAATAATACTTACTTTCATTATTAAAAGATAACTTTGTCCAGGGGTTCAAAACTAGAGCCTCAAGCAGATGTCGTGTGCTGCCATGCTCTTTTTCTGTCCAGGGAGGAGTACGGAATTGTTGGTGGGAGGCAGAGTTGCTAGAAAATGTAGTGCAGTAATGGGTATTTCTCCGGTCTCATTGCTTTGCCAAATTATTTAATAAACTCAGTTTATTTCTTTGCATTTTCTGGGTATATAGTCTTATCATTCAGCTAGCATCCTTCATACCGTTATCTGCACCCTGTTTCCTCCTCTACCTGCCAGACACGTAATGAAATTGATGTCAGACGATAAGAAGCAGTAATTAAATTGAAAGACGCTAGTGATAATCATATTGATTAGTGATTGAATAGAGTACATTTTTTTTTAAAGATTTTATTTATTTATTTGAGAGAGAGAGAGTGAGAGAGACAGCACATGAGAGGGTCAGAGGGAGAAGCAGACTCCCTGCTGAGCAGGGAGCCCGACGCGGGACTCGATCCCTGGACTCCAGGATCATGACCTGAGCCGAAGGCAGTCGCTTAACCAACTGAGCCAACCAGGCACCCTGAATA